GTTCACTATAGGAGAAGATATGAAATTGGCAGTTTATGATGTTTTGGATCCAACTTAAGATCCATATAATAGAGTTAAATTAAGAAGTGTTGTCTCTATTGAATAAGAATGTTTACCATCAGCATGTATTTGGTATCCAATCAATTTATAAAGAGAAGATGTTTTATTAACAACAAATAGTGAATTTAAATTAAAATTATGGACAGTTTTAAAAGATCTTCGTATTATTTGTAAAAAGACTTGTTTAGGTCCAACTTTTGGTGGACATATCAAAAGATTATTATTATTAAATCCAAGTGATATGAAAAATGAATATTAAGATAAATATTTAGCCTATTCTACAGGTGAAAAAGTTGTTGGTATAATTAAATTACCTTTAGATGGTAATCCTAATAAAACTATGGGTTTGATTGCACATCCTGAGAAAATTGTTGATTTATCATCAACTTAAGATGGTAAATTATTTTTTACATCTGGTGGTGATGATTTTGCAATTAATATTTGGAGTGTTGATTTTGCTGCTTTAGAAGATAATTTTTAAACATAAGAAACAGAATATGAAATATTTTCAAATTTATTAGATGGAGGACCTGAAGGATAAACATTAAGAGATTTAAAAGACTTCTTTTATTATAGTCAAATTAGATCAAAAGATGAACATACAACTAAAGCTAGAAAATTAGATGGTCTAGTTCCATTAACTGCTATTGCTGATATGATGAGATCTATGGGATACTTTCCAACAAATTAAGAAATTGAAAATATGATAAATGAGATTAAATTTTCAAAATATCTTGAAACAGGTGAATAAATATCAGAATTAGAAATTAATACATTCCTTAAATTATATGTTAATCATAAACCTGTAAATGGAGTTACAAAAGGATAAATATATGATGCATTAAAAACACTTTCAAATGACTCAGGAGTAATGCCATGGGATTAATTTACTGAATTATTAAAAACAAAAGGTGAAAAATTAGATGAATAAGAAATTGAATGTAATATTAATATTTTATTATTATTTTAGATTATTTGGAATCATTAATGCCAAATAAAAATTATCCATAATAATTACATTTGAATAATCTTTGTGATGATTTATTAGGTTTTGAAGATATGGATGGTACTTAAGAATAGTAAGAGTAATAAGAAGAAGTTTAAGATGTTGGTTCTGAAGACGAATAGTAGTGAAATTATATTTATTTTTATTCTAAATTTAAAATTAAGTTAATGTGTTTCTATTATTTATATAACTAAATACTTTATATTCTTAAATAAAGAAAATAAAGTAATTTGATTATTTAATTATTAATAAGTATTTTTAATAGGATTATTATAAATTAAAAATCATAATAAAAAATCAGTAGCTTTTATGATAAATAAATTTGAATTCTAATAATCAATATGTCTACATATAAGAAATTACTAAATATTAATATTATTTTTATTATTCTTTCTTTCATTCTTAATTAGTTTGAAAATAAAAGATAAAAAAGAACAATATAGCTATTTTTAATAAGATATACTAATTTTTGAATACCAATATGGCAATAATTAAAGTTTTACAACTTTATAATTGTTATGGAGGGATTCTTTGGAAACTTAAATTAAAATAACTATTTCTCAAGTAAGATTAATTAATTTGGCGATATTCTTATCATATTTAGAATAATGATTAATATTGAAATATTACAATAATCATGGAGAAAGTAATATTATATGATTTTAATAATAAAAAGTTTGCCAATACAAGCAATTAATTAGAAATAATGATTGTTAATTATTATATTTTTCAAATTCAAATTTTTCAATGTATAAAGAAGAAGCAATTCCATTAATCACATATGATGCTTAAAATAGAAGTAATTAAATATTCAATAGATAGCTTACAATTTGGCAGAAGAGGCGGCAAAAATGATTAGATCTATAAATAATCCAATTGCAATTATCTCAGTAGCAGGTTTATATAGAACAGGGAAATCATACCTATTGAATAGAATAGTACTCAATCGTAGTAATGGTTTTGGTGTTGGACCAACAGTAAATCCATGCACAAAAGGAATGTGGGTTTGGGGGACACCAATTACAGTTGGAAAGACTTCAATTTTAATAGTAGATTCAGAAGGTACAGGTGCTTTGAATGACTCAGATGTTAATCATGACACAAGAATATTTGCTCTTGCTGTTTTATTGGCATCTTCATTTGTTTATAATTCAGTTGGAGCTATTGATGAAGGAGCATTGGAATCATTAAGCTTTGTTGTCAATTTAACAAAATTCATATAATTAAGATCAAATGAAGAACCAGATTCTGAAGAATATGGAGAGTTTATGCCTCAATTCTTTTGGGTATTGAGAGATTTTTCATTGTAATTGTTGGATAACAATGGAGACACTCTTACAAGTCATCAATATTTAGAGAGATCTTTATAGGAATAACCAGGATTTTGTGATAGAGTAGAAGAGAAGAACAGAATAAGAAGATTATTAAGAACATTTTTTCCTGAAAGAGAATGTTTTACATTAGTTAGACCAGTTAATAATGAGAGTTAATTATAATCACTTTAACATTTGGATCTTAAATAATTAAGACCAGAATTTTATGAATAGGCAATATCTTTGAGAAAAATGTTGTTTTCTAAAGTGAAACCTAAGTAATTTAAAGGTAAGACACTAACAGGAGGAATGTATATAAATTTGATTAAGTAAGAGTGTATATAATTAATTTAGTTCTTATTTATAAGCTATGAATAGTGGATGTGTAGCATCAATTGAGAGTTCATGGACATATGTATTTAGAGAGGAATGTAGAAAATTATAAACAGAAGCATTTGAAATATATGAAAAATAGATTAAAGAAACTTTACTTTCAAAATTACCTACAACTCTTGAAGATATTAAGGCTTTGAATAAAATATGTAAGAACAAGGCTATTGCACATATGGGAAATAATGCTGAAATAACTCCATATATAAATGAATTGAAACAAAAGATTAAGGGTAAATTTGAAAATCTATTGGCTTTTAATGAGACTGAATCTGTTGCTTTATGTAAATAGTATTTAGTATCATAATTTGCTCCTATTGATTAAAAATTAAAAATGTCAGAATATAAAACTTATGCTGAATTTGAAAAGGATTTAAAATTGTTCAATATCTTTTTAGAAGAACATGGACCTAAAGTTGTTAGAAGAAAACAAATGTTTGTGGAATTCATATAGAAGATGACAAATGAAGGAGCTACATTCTTTGTTTAAAATATATTATAAGATTTTGAAGGTTATAAGAAGTTTTCAGAAGAATAAATAAATAAATTATAAAATGGATTTAATACTTTAAAATAGGATTCATAAAAATAAGTAGAATAATAAAATTAATAAATAAAATAATTAAATTAATAGAATACAGATATAAATTAAAAATATAAAACTTAATGTGAAGAGTTAGAAAAATTGAAATAAAAAAATAGTTAAACTATTTAATAGATGAAAACATAATTTGAAAATGATTATAATAAATTATAGAATAGTTTTGAAGAATTGAAATAGAAATGTTAGGTAGCTGAAGAAGAATTAAAAAATTCAGAAAGAGAATAATTTATATTATAAAGTGAATCTAAAAAAAAGGAAGCTTTAATGGAATAGAAAATATCACATTTATAAAAGTTGAATGATGAATTTAATAAAAAAGAGAAATAATATGATTCAACTATGATGACTTCTAAAAGTGAATTCTCAGTTAAATTAAGAGAATTAACAACATCTTATGAATAAACTTTGAGTGAAGTAAGAGCATAGAATTTATAATTGAATGAAAAATTATAGGAGACTTCAGATTAATTAATGTAATTGGAAATTAAATATGAAAATTATTATTAAGTTCAAAGTCATAAGGAGGAAAGTTCAAGTAATGCTATTAAAAAATTAATGTAATCTTAATAAACTTTACAAGAATAAATTAATATTGAAATATAAAAGAATAAATAACTTTAAGATGAATTGTTATAGACTTAAATGTAAGTAGAATCAAATGAAGTTGGTGAATAATTTAAATAATAAGTTAAATAATTAGAAATCAAATTGTAAGAATAAAAATAAATATAATTAAAGAGTGATGCAGTTTTAAATTAATAAATTTAATTTTTGTAGATGGAATTAGAAGAAAAGAAAAGTACTATTAATGATCTCAAAAAATCTCATTAGTCTGCTATGTTGGCATTAGAATAATCATAAAATACTTAAAATTAATAATAATTAAATAAATCTCTTATTGATTTGAAAGAATAACATATGATTGAAATTAGATAAGCAGAACAAAATTCATAATAATTGAGAAAGTAATTATAATAATAATTGGATTAATTATAAGGAGAACTATAAGAAGCAGAAATGAGAGGGGATGTATTTTTATAAGAAAAGAATAAATTATAAGAAGAATTAAATGAAAGCTATTAAGTTTAAGATGAATTGAAATAAAAGATTTAATAATAATTAAAAGAGATGGAATCAAATAAATATACATAATTTAGAGAAAAGGAATTGAGAATGAATTAAAGAATTAAATAATTAGAAGAGGAATTAAGTTAATGCAAATAATAACTATAAAATATGGGTAATGTAGATAAAAATAGTATTGAATAATAAGTGAATGAATTAAGAAATTATTATGAAATGGAAAAAGATGTTTTGGAGAGAAGAATTCATGAAGAAAGATAGAAAGCTGATTAAAAATATTAAATATTATTTGAAGAATAAGAATAGAAAATGAGAGATGAACAATAATAATATGAAGAAGAAATAGAAACATTAAAAGATGAATTAAGAGATTTAGAAATCAATTTAACTACTTAATAATAATAATATGATAATGAAATAGAATTAAAGAATAAATAACTTAATTCTATGGAGAATATATTAAATGAGACAAAAGAATAATTAGTTTAATTATAAAATACTTTCTAAACTTAAGTTGAATAAAGAATAAATAATCTTAATGTTACTATATAATCATTAGAAAGTTAATTAACTAATTAATAATAGAATAATTAACAATTAATTAAAGAGAATTAATTAATGACATAGAAAGTAGAAAACTTGGATGTAAAACTTTAATAAAAATTAAGTGAATTTAAATAATTGAAGGAAGATTAAGAAAAAGAGAAGACATAATTATAAGAGACATTATAAGATTTGAGAAGAAAATATACAGCAACTTGTGATGAATATTTAGAGAAGAAGATAAATTATGAAAAGGCTATAGCATTGTCTGCTTAACAGAATGAATTTTTCGCCAAAAAAGTTGAAGAATTAGAAAGATAATTGGAGAGTTGCAATTTGAAATATGAAGAGAGAATTAAGATATAAAAATAGGAATGGACATAAGAATTATCAGATAGATTATCAAAATTAAATGAAGAGAAATAATAGATTGAATCTAAAAGTACATAGCTTAAGAAACAATTAAGAGAAAAGGAAACATAATTATTGAAAGCATAATAAGATTTAGAGAAAGAAACAGCTTTATCAACAGAAAAGATTGTATATTTAGAATAAAAATTAAGAGAACATGAATAATAAACATCTTCAGAAAATAGTAATGCTGCTTTGTAATTGAAATAATTAAGAGAATAATTTAATATACTTAAATAAAAATCATCTTCTGATATTGAATAATTAAAATCATAATTGACTAATCTTGAATTTGAGAAATAAGAATTATAGGCCAATTATGAAAAGGATAAAATTTTATGGGTAATTTTATAATTTAATATTTTTATAGTAAGGAAAAACATAATTCTTAGAATCATAAAGAGAATCATTGAAAGTAGAATTAGCTGATGCTATGAGAAAATTTGAAACAACAATTCAAACATTATAAAGATAAAGAAGTCTAGAAAGAAATGATCATAATTAAGATATAACAGAAATGTTAAATTAGATTGAAAGAAAGTATTAAGATTAAGTTAAAGATATATAACAATAACATTAAAAGAAATGTGATGATTATTAAGAAAGAATTGAAAGATTGGAAAAAGAACTTAAACAATCTCAAAGTAAAGAATTACTAGATTAATAATCAAAAATTGGTTAATAATTTGAAAGAAAGACTGCAGAATTATTAGAGAATGAGAAAAGATTATTAAATACAATTGAAGAATTAAAATAAGAAAGAGATCAACGTATACTTGAACATCATGAAGAAGTAGAATAAGAAAAAGAGTATTGGAGAAATAAAATTAATGAATTAGAAGAAAGATAAAGAGAATCAGATAAAAAATAATCTTAACTAATTTTCTATCATGAAAAAGAACGAGCTAAATGGAGTTAAGAAAAAGATTATATTATGTAATAAAAGATGGAATTGTAAGATTAATTATCAAGATTGGAGAAAAAGAAAGAATTATTACTCAAAGAAAATGAGAAAATGAAGAATTCTTCAAAGAGTCTTAGAAAATATAATCCTAATTAAACTCTTAATAATAGTTATTTAAATAAATAAGCAAGTGATAAAAAGATCCCTTCATAAGTATATTATAATTCTATTAAATTATTAGGAAGTAGTTAATATGAGTTATGATGTAACTAAATCATTAGAGGATAAAGATCCAAGTACTAAAGAAAATCTATCTACATCAACAACATTTGGTAGTTTCAAAAAATATTATTAAATGATGAACTCTAAACAAGTAAGTCCTAGTAAAATAAAAGAGATTTCAGATATTTGATAAATTAATATATATATATATATATAACACAAGAAACTCATATTTATGCAGACCATTATTATCTTAGTGAATTCTCATAAAGTGATCTTTGTAATATATTATTAGCAAAATCTATATCAACACAATATTGGTTTTATTTATCAATAATGCACTAACCTAAAGCTGCATCATATAATGAAATAATAAATTTATCAATCTATCTTGGAGAAAAATCTTCCATTTATTTTGCCAACTATAAAATTTCATCATCTGATAAATTGAAATTTACTTTGAATCTTTTTTAAAATGCTTTGGCTGGATTTAAAATCAAAGAAAGCATATTACTTTTTTAAAATGTATCCTCAAATCCTTTTTTTAATAATTTTACTCTTTATTCTTCATTCAAATAATCAAATTTAACAATTTAATCTATTCTATCTAAAATTGCTTCATCCAATTTATTTGGTAAATTAGTTGCTAATATTAACGAATATTTTTTTGAAGCTGCTGAAGTCTAAGCTAAAAATGTTGATAATGCAGCAGATGTCTATTTCGAAGAACTTCTTTTATAAAAAATTGCTTCAGCTTCATCAATAAATATAAGTGTTCCTTTTGGTGTAGATTAACACCAAGAAAATAATTTATCTATCTCAGGAACAGCTTATTCTCCTAATTTTTCTATGTCTCCACCAGAAATTATTGCAAAATGCAATCCTGAATTATAAGCAAGCAATTTAGCAAATAAAGTCTTACCTGTTCCTGGTTGACCATGAAATAATAGATTTCTCAAAGGAGCTGATTAACTTTATTTAGCTATAAATCCAGATGTAATCAATTTAAGTGTGACTTCTAATTCAGGATTTAATATTATTTTATCAAATATTCTTTTAGAACTAGGCATCATCCACTTTAATGAACGACGAGAAGTTTCTCTAACTAAAGTAGGTTTTGTTAAAATAGCCTCTAATCTCTTGAAACCAAGTCCTAAACTGTATTTACTAAAGAAAAAGGCTCCACTTACAAATAACATTACTTTTGCTATTGTAAATAGACCTTAAGGATTCTATTACAAATATTTGAATCCTTCTTGAAATTTTACAAAATAAAGATTGTGCAATTCAATTTTAGCCTATTTTTCTATTTAAGCTTTTTTCTCTTATTCTTAAATAATTAAATCAAAATTCTTTCTATAATTTTCAGCATTTAATTTAGCTTATAAAGAAATTTTTTTTTCCTCTAATTCAAATTATTTCTTCATTTGCATTGTTAATGTTTCTCTTCTCATATTTTCTTATCTTTTAATTGATTCTTCAGTCTCTTCTCTCATTTTTTGGGCAGTCAACTCTTTATCTTTCAATTTATCTTTAGTTCTTTCTCTTTCTAATTTATCATTATAATCTGCAATCTATTGATTAACTTATTTTTGATGATCCATATTTCTTCTTCTTTCCTCTCCTTCAACTTTAACCTTTTAAATCTCATTTTATTTTTATATTGCTTGTTTATCTGCCCTTTTGGCCTCTTCAGTCTTAATCATGGCTTCAAGGGCTTTTGCTGCATGAGGTGACTAATTTAGTTCACGTAAGGCCTGAAATAATAGTTTAATAATAAATACTTGAGCTGCTCTTTCTAAAGCTGTTGGATCAAAGACTCCTTAATTCTTCATAATTAAATTTAATTATTTATGAATTGTTTAAATTATAATACAAAATTAGAAAATCCCAATCAAATATCTCAATTTAATCATGAAAATTAATTTGATTTTGCAAAGTGATTTCTAATCGATATTTGTAATGTAATAATTAAGTAATGAATATATTTATATTTAAGTATACTCTTATTTAAACCTAAATAATATTATTCATTAAATCCATTTTTAATGAATTACCTAATCAAAATGATTATTGGATTTATATTATTTTTATTTAGGAGATTGAATAATTGTAAGTTTGATAGAGCTTTTTTATAGATTATTATCTTAAATTTTTTGAATATAATTTTGAAGTAATATGTGAAATGTTTTTATTAATTTATTTTTATAATTTTTTATAAAAAATCAGTTAGTTTATTTAAATTTAACCTTCAATCAAATTCTTATCTCCTCTAAATTTATTATCTAATAAAATGTGAATATTATTAGATAATCAATTCATTAATTAAAAATAATTGTTTAATGATTATAGTATATTTTTGAGCTTAATATTTCTATATATATATATAATAAATTTATTAATTTCAATATAATCATTTTCTCAAATAAATTAATAATAAATTATTAAGATATATATAAAATTTATGTATGAATATTATTTATAAAATTAATTTATTAAATCATACTAATTTTTTAACCATATATACTCCTTCAGTATGATATCCTAATTTACGATAATAATGTCTTGTTCCAATTCCTGCAATAACTGCCATTTTAGTACTACCATGTTCTTCTCTTGCAATTTTTTCTGCTTCTTCCATAAGTAATGTACCATATCCTTAATGTTAAAATTTAGAAGGATCTCTTGAATGTATTGGTACTACTGAACCATATACATGCAATTCTCTAACCATAGAAGTAGGTTCCTAAATTAATTCTTTTCTGAATGTATGTTTATCCAATCTTCTAAGTCTCAATAATCCTATTAAAATATCTTAAGAAGGATCTTCATATGATAGAAATGTTTCCCATCCATCATTAGCTGTATAATCTCTTCTAATTAATTCAACTTATTCTGGTTTAATTTTATGATGAACTTCTTTAATTCCAACTTCTCTAGTTCTAACATCTCTACAAGCAACATTTAAATCTTTCATTCTTTATAATGATAATTCTCTCAAATTTCCATTATCAACTCCTGATGTAACTAAAGGCATAGGAATATCTCTTTAAATTCTATAGACTCTAGTCCAAGGTGGAACTAAAGCAAGTATTTTAGCAACAACATCAACTAAGAAATCAGGTGGATAATTTCTATATTATCCATTTTTCCATAATTCATATAATCCAGTACCTCTAATAACAAGAGTTGGATATATCTAATTTTAAATACTAAAATACTTTCAATCCATCTGGTCTAAAATCAGGATTTTCAAAAAACTCTTTAAAACTTTCTAAATCTCTTTCTACTCCCATATTAGGTAAATCAGGCATCATATGTGTTACTACTTTATATCCACTATCTTTGCTCATTGCAAAACATTTCTTGACTGATTCAACTGTATGTCCTCTATTAGTATCTCTTGCAACTTAATTATAAAATTATAATAATTACTATCTTCATAAATTGATTAAACACCAACTTCAATACGAGTACATCCATATAATAACATATCACTTAAATGACTTTTCTGACAAAAATCAGGNAATTTTTTATAAAAAATCAGTTAGTTTATTTAAATTTAACCTTCAATCAAATTCTTATCTCCTCTAAATTTATTATCTAATAAAATGTGAATATTATTAGATAATCAATTCATTAATTAAAAATAATTGTTTAATGATTATAGTATATTTTTGAGCTTAATATTTCTATATATATATATAATAAATTTATTAATTTCAATATAATCATTTTCTCAAATAAATTAATAATAAATTATTAAGATATATATAAAATTTATGTATGAATATTATTTATAAAATTAATTTATTAAATCATACTAATTTTTTAACCATATATACTCCTTCAGTATGATATCCTAATTTACGATAATAATGTCTTGTTCCAATTCCTGCAATAACTGCCATTTTAGTACTACCATGTTCTTCTCTTGCAATTTTTTCTGCTTCTTCCATAAGTAATGTACCATATCCTTAATGTTAAAATTTAGAAGGATCTCTTGAATGTATTGGTACTACTGAACCATATACATGCAATTCTCTAACCATAGAAGTAGGTTCCTAAATTAATTCTTTTCTGAATGTATGTTTATCCAATCTTCTAAGTCTCAATAATCCTATTAAAATATCTTAAGAAGGATCTTCATATGATAGAAATGTTTCCCATCCATCATTAGCTGTATAATCTCTTCTAATTAATTCAACTTATTCTGGTTTAATTTTATGATGAACTTCTTTAATTCCAACTTCTCTAGTTCTAACATCTCTACAAGCAACATTTAAATCTTTCATTCTTTATAATGATAATTCTCTCAAATTTCCATTATCAACTCCTGATGTAACTAAAGGCATAGGAATATCCCTTTAAATTCTATAGACCCTAGTCCAAGGTGGAACTAAAGCAAGTATTTTAGCAACAACATCAACTAAGAAATCAGGAGGATAATTTCTATATTATCCATTTTTCCATAATTCATATAATCCAGTACCTCTAATAACAAGAGTAGGATATATCTAATTATAAATTCTAATATACTTTCAATCCATCTGGTCTAAAATCAGGATTTTCAAAAAACTCTTTAAAACTCTCTAAATCTCTTTCTACTCCCATATTAGGTAAATCAGGCATCATATGTGTTACTACTTTATATCCACTATCTTTGCTCATTGCAAAACATTTCTTGACTGATTCAACTGTATGTCCTCTATTAGTATCTCTTGCAACTTAATTATAAGATTATAATAATTACTATCTTCATAGATTGATTAAACACCAACTTCAATACGAGTACATCCATATAATAACATATCACTTAAATGACTTTTCTGACAAAAATCAGGTCTTGTTTCTATTGTTATTCCTATACATTTAGATCTACTCTCTTCAGAGAATTGAACTGATTCTTTAACTGTTTATGAACGATGACCACTTAAAGCATCATGTAAATTTCTAATAAAATAATCTCTATATTCTTAATCCAAAGACATAAATGTTCCACCCATTATAATATATTCAACTTTATCACAATCATGTCCTAATTATTTTAATTAAGCTATTCTATCTCTTGCTTATATATATGGATTATATCTAGCTCTAATTGCTCTCATACTTGTAGGTTCATAACCTGTATAACTTTGAGTTGAATATTCGAAATCACTATCAGGTCCCTTAAATAATTTTATAAATGTTCATACTCCTGGACAATAAATACAAATATTCCCTGTAACAGCTATATGTGGACATCTATGAGGTTTAGCCATTACTGCAACCACAGCTATACCTGATGCTGTTCTAACAGGTTTAGCTTTCAAAATAGGAATCAATTTATCCTTATAATCATCTGGAATTGCTGATAAGATTTCTACTATTTTAGGTGCTCCTGATATCTTATTCTTTTTAGAAAACTCAGCTTTAATTTGTGATAAATTTATTTTCTGATTACTATCATATTACTTAATCAATTCTGCAACTATTTCTGAAATACATTTCAATTTATCTACTGTTGAATCCTATTATTTTTTTCCCTTTTTTTCTTTTTGCTCCATTAATTATGTTAAAAAAGAATTATGTTAAATATAAGAAAATTTTTTAATTAATGAATGATAAATATTAATATAAGTATCTTCAAATATTATATTCTTCATCTATCCTCTTTTTATTTCTAGTTTCTTATTAAAATCACAAGAAATTATGTTAAGTTATCTTATCTATTTCTAATTTATTAAGTTTCTAATCCTAAATTCTAATCTCATGAATCTCGTTATTCCTGTAAGTTTTGTTTTAATATACTCTTTTCATTTCATTAGGATTAAATATTGAAAGATGAACTTGAATATTACTATATTCTCTTTAATCAAGTTCGAAATTTCATTTTTTAATCTGACTATTGTTTATAGCATAAATCATTAAATTTGAATCTTGTACACTCTTTCTAGTATTTCTTAGAACTTAGAATTTACCTATATCTATTATTCAAAAAAAGTTGAGACAACAAATCATTTTTTTTCAGAATGACATCATTTTTTCTATTTTCCTTAAAGTATCAAACCACAAATATGATAAGTATCAGATAGATGATATAAAATATATATGTAAAATTCATAAATACAAACAAGTATATGATATATAATTATAAATTTAGTAAAGTACATACACAAAGTCAGAAATCTCATTCAAAATTTTTGGTTTCACTTTCAGCAAACTTTTTAGTCAAATAAGAATTCCATGAATAAAGCTTTTCAGTTAATTCTAGAACTTAAGATGTTTTCCTTATTCTTTTTGTAAATTAAAATGAGCATGCTATCTTTGAATTATTTGTTGTTAATGGTGATGTAAACATTGTCCTAATTTCTGTTTCATCATCTTCAGGCACTGGGGATATATCTCCAAAACTTTAGAGTGTTGATAATGGAGAGTGTTCATACTTCTACATTTCAATCTATAAATAATTAAAAATATATTAAAATATTAATGATATATTAAATCTTGTATATATTAATTAAGCTATTAAATGACCAAACTATTTCTTTGAATAATGTATGAATTTTAGACAAATTCTAAAAAGTTCAGTTTTTATTATAAAATATCATATCTACTTATGAGATTTCATTATATATTCTCAATTCTATCTATTTCATTAATGATATATAGATATTGATTAATGAGCAAAGTCAAAATAAAAAAACTTATACAAACTGTTTAATAAAAATATCAAAATTTATTTAATGATAATAATTTATTTTTCTCATTAATACCTTTTAGAATAATTTATAAAATTTCTTTCATGTACAATATATATATTATATTAATATTTATTATAATTGAAATCTCTTAATATTTATGTAAATAAATATACAACTAGAAAGACATCTATGAGAAGATATTAATAATTTAAAATCTGTAGTATTTAATAAAATAAGTTATATTATAAAAATAAGTTATTATATTAATATAAAATGTATATTAGAATAAATTTTAAAATCTTATAATAGATGATAAATGGTTAATAAATTAATTAATTATTATAATATCAATAAAAATATATTATGAGAAAGATCAGTTTCAAAGGAATGGAATTATATATTTCAATTATTGCCACAATCAATTTTATTGGTTTAGGCATCTTTTAAAATTAGCATTTAAAGTTAATCTCTTTTTTTTGGATTAGAACGTATTAATTAGGAAAAATATTTCTTTTTATAGGATTTATCATTTTTGGTTTTATGTTGGGGGCAAGAGTGTATAAGTAAATCAAGTTTTTATATATTTAGATATATTAAGTTTCTCTCAAATTTGAAGATATTCCTAATTTCAGATATTACATATTTATTGTTTACAACTGGATACTCAATTAGCATTTATGAAGAAATCAGTTAATAAAAAACACGTCTGAAGGATAATGAATAATTATAAATTCCTAATTATCTTACTATTATTGTCCTATTTTTTTAGATTGTAATTGGGATAAATATCAGTATAAATTATATTCATACAACATGCTTCTTAAAGATTAATAGTAATGAATTCTCATTTCTATTTATTCCATTATTTTTATCTTTAGGAATACTCATCAATGAATTACTTAACTATGGTTATGATTAAGATATAAGTCCACTTTATAGCTATATTGCATAAATTATTCCGATTTTAATAAGATTATTTGGGTCTATATTTTTGGCTAAACAAGAAAAGATAAGATAAACAGAAAATAATAATAAAGTGCATGTTATGGGCAATACTGATGAAGATAAAAAATTAAGAGTTTTAAAGAGTTATTTTACTTAATACTATCAGATTATTTTTCTAATTTTATTAACAACATTTTCTGGATCTATATTTGTTCAATCCTATTTTGATATTCTAAATTACGTGTACATTTATTCTTTTCAATATTATTACTATGGTTATTATCATAATTTTGGAATTGGTAGTTGCAATTCTTGCTTTGGAGGTTATTTGATTGTTATTCCAGGTGTGAATTTTCTGATAAATATTTTTAATTTGGTGTTTTAGAGACACATAAAAGTTAAGATTCATTTATGTCTCTCTATTGGAATATTATGTTTGGGTTTATTATTAGCTAGTTACACTTATTCATGTGTGAGTTTAATGTTAATTTAATGGGGACATAAATTAGGGTTAGGAACATTTATATATAAGATAATTCCGATGACATTACCATAAAACACAATGATTTAATGTTTTTCTATAGAATTTATAGCATAATTTGTATAAACTTGTCTTTTAAGTACGCTATATGCCTTAAGAATATAAAATTCAGCTCAGATTTGTTCAAATATTTAGAAGATCTTTGAGGGTTATTTTTATTTTAATTTAATTGGACTTGTTTTTCTTTTATTTTATTGGAAAGTATAAATTTAGAATATATTTAATAGGAGCCAAAAGTAAAATAACAAAATCAAGAGATTTAATTCTAGTTAATTGATGTTAAAAATAATTAATAGGAACAATCATGATACATACATATATTATTTTATTAAGATTATACACTGTGAAAATGATTAATAATCCTAAATAAAATGTCTTAAAATTCTTTCAATGAATAGATATATTATTTTCTAGAGTCTCTTAATACTTATTGTCTCTATGATATAATTGTCTAGACTAATATAATCCTATATTTTAAGTCTTCAAAATTATTTTATCTTGCTTCAAGTCTATGTTAATATTAATTACTTATTTTACAACCAAATCTTTATTTTTGTCTAATTATTAAAATTTAAGAAATGTACAAGTTTATTAAAAGAAGGTTCTTTTCTTTAACATATTCATTAGCAAATACCTAGTGTAATTTCCATTCGATTTGAAAAAGAGAACTCAATTCTTTAGTTAGATTTAGATTCAAAAAACATGAAAATGGAGATTTTAAAATGTTGTTACTATTATTTTTGAATCATTATTAAATTCTATTCCATTAAATTTTATGTGATTAGATTGCTTGAATATATTTTTTAGCATGGTAATATATTAGTGATTCATAAAAAGAATGTTGGTATCCTAATTCAATGAAAGTAAATATATTTCTAGCTAGATCATATATATTATTTATCCTTAATTTAATTAGTTTAATTTGGAAAGTAGAAAAGGCATTATAAATAATAAAAATTATATCGAGCCTAATTTTTTGGCTTTTTTATTAATTAGCCTTAATTGAATTAAATGGATGGTCATCAGAATTATTTATAAATAAACCATATAAATCACTATTTTATATAAATCATTTTTTTAATTAAAGTAAATATAATAATAATCAAATTTTCACATTTTAATTTGATAACTTTTATTAATTCCTTTTATTTGTATTTTAAAAAATTTTCTTAAATTAATAAATCTAAGCTAAGAAATAATAAATCTTGTATCTATATTTAAAAAAATGAAATTACTTATGAGACTAAATATACCTATTGAAAATTGAAAATTATAGAGTTTTTTGAAATTTAATTAATTAACTCAAGTGTTATCTATTATATTAATCATAATTATTTGAATTAATTTAATTTATTATTCTAATTCTATCAATAGTATATTAAATTTTTACACTTCTAAAAACAATCATTATTATTTTTTTATGGTGAAATTGATAGAATTTCGAATACATTTTACTACTTAATTTGGAAAAGCTATTTATTTAACAGGGAATTCAGATATTTTAGGTAATTGGAATCCAAATAAGGCTAAGCGAATGAATTGGTCAGAAGTAACTATAATATTTATATATTAAGGGAAATATTTGGAAAGTGGATATATTATTACATAATTTTGAATACAAATATTTTGTTGCAGACTATGATACTCCTTCTAATATAATTTGGGAACCTGGCCCTAACAGAGTTATGTTCCAAAACTAAACTTAAAACTTAAGTAAATAATCTAGTATAAGAATAGAAACATTGGATTTTTGGAATTATAGAGAAGTTTAACTCTATTGCAATAATCCTCAAAATCACTAAATTTACATTACAGGATCATCATTTGGTTTGACCTAATTCAAGCAATTCAAATAAATGAACCAATAAAATGATCAAGCAACTTTTCAATTTTTGATTAATCCATGTAAAGAGAGAGAAATCAAATTTCAATGTTGCTTAAATAATTAAGAAGATCTCAAGACAAATATAGAATCAGTTAGCATTGATAATCAAAGTAAAATAAATAGTATATCATAGATCAATATTAATATAATATTATATAAATAAAATGCAACCAGCTGGATGTTTTATTAAGGAAATTAGAAGAGGAATATAATAGGCATATTGAAGAATAAAGAAAAATTGAACAAGAAAAAATTAGATAGGAGGAAGAAAATAAAAGAAGGATTGAACAAGAAAAAATTAGATAGCAATACAATAATAATACAAAAAAGAATTTAAAGCAATAAGAGTAAACTATTAAATAACACATATAACCTATAACCTAATAAACATAGATATAAAAATAAATTAATAAATAACCAATTAAACAATAAATATAAACATTAAATTAAGAAATCATTTAAATAGATAATAATAAAAATGCTACTAATAATTAAAAATAATTCTAAAAACATTAATATTAACAATAATTATTAACAAAATTAAAAGATTCAGGAGAAGTAAAAGAAATACCTCATGTAAAATAGAACATTGAAGTTTCAAATCCTGAAGTAGCACTTTATGTTTTAAAAGAATCATTATTAAGAGATTAAAATAGAGAATTAGTTTAAACAAATACATAATATTCATTTGGATTTGATTCAATTATAGGAGCATATGGTTCAGATTAATCTTGTTTAAAGGTTAGAAATACAAACCTTGATTATGATACAATTGTGAATGACAATCAATTATTAGAATAGTAATTATTAGAATTTAAATAAAAATTATCAATTTCACTTAATATTTCAATTGATTAAATTGAAATATTAGGAGTATCAAAAGGAAGCTTTGAAATTAGTTTTTAAATTACAGGAAAAAATTCAGATGAGATTTAACAATAGATTAAAAATAAACCAGAAGCATAAAAATTCTTAAATGAATATTGCAATGGTTAAGTTGAATATGTAGCATACTTTGATAATGCAAGAACTGCTGGAGGAAATTAGGCAAAAAACTCCACAGGAGTAGCTTTATCTTCTGATGATTTTAATCCTCAATTCAATATGAGTTGGGATAATTTGCCTGAAAAAGAATAAAGAGGACCTCCTTATCATAGATATGATTATTATTTTCCCAGAGGTTGTTATGGACTTGGATTAAAAGTAAAAAATTATGGAAATGATGATTGGATAAAAATGGATGGCAACGCTAATGAATGGAGAATTTTGTATCATGGTACTAAAAATTTTGCTATAAACTAAATTGTTAAAAATAATTTAGTACCAGGGGGTGGATAAGCTTATGCTGGTTATTAGTGTCAAGATGAATTTGGTAATACAGTTCCTGTTGGGAATGGAATTTATTTTTCTGATAAATTATCAGTTTGTCAAGGATATACATCCCCTGTTTAGGCAGGTAATAAGAAATTTAGGGTTTATTTTATGTCCAGGGTGAATCCAAAAAAAATTAGATAAAGTAATGAAATGAAACCAATTAATTATTTTGTTGTTAATAACTCTTAAGATGTAAGGCCATATAGAATTCTAATTTAGGAAGAGAAATGAAACTTAAATATTATAAATTTGTTTTATTATACAAATGAAATCATAAGTTAAGAAAGATTCAAACTTTTAAGTATTATTTAGGGTCTAAAATAGTTACTGAAATTTGCTTCTAAATTTATTTTAAAGTATATTTTTTTAAATAAATTCCTATTGAATAATTGTAAGAAAATGGATTTCAAAGTCCTCTTTAACACTATTTTATTGTTTATAAGAACAAAGAATTTTATTATGATTAATTTACATACAATATCAAATATTCTTCCAATTGTTTTCAAGTTTTTGAAAGAATGATGTAACAAATTATATGTTAAATATTTATTTTGTATAAATTTTTTATAGATAAGATATGAAATCATAAATTACAATATTTTATAAAATTCTATTATTAATAGATGATAAAAGTACTAATACTTAAATCTTAAATACAACTTTGCACTTTAATACTTATATTAAAATCTAAGAAATGTTAATATTTGTTTTATATCAAACAATATTTAGTTAAAATCACAAATAGCAAAGTAGTTGATATTGAGGGGTGAAATACAAAAATATTAAAACTATTAGAAGAAAAAAAATGCTTTTTGCCTTTTAGAAGCTATTGGAATATATTATTTTTTCTAATTTAATTTCATTTTTAGTTTGTCCAATACAATATTTTGATTTAAATACTATTTTAATAGAATTCCTAAAGAAGATTTATATATTTATTTATGAAAATTTAATTCTAAATAAATTAAATCATAAATTAAAAAATGTTTTCTGTCTTAGTCACAATTTTCCATCTTTTGACTGCTCTACTCTCTATAATCTATGTTAACAAAGGGTTAAAGAAATTCAATTCTTTTTTATATAAGAATGCAGATATTCCTGAAAAATATAAGCCATTTAGAAGAACAGATAGGGATAATTGGAATAGATATGAAATGTACATCTGCAGTATCATTTTATTTCCATTCAGATTATTATTGAGCTTTGCAATATTAATATTTTTCATCATGACTATGTTTGTAGCTACTTTTGGTAAGAAAATTAGAAATTTTATATTTAGGTTTTAAATTAAAAAATCCTTGGCCAGAATCTAGATTGAAAGCATTTAAACCATTACTATAAACACTTGGAAAGGCATATCTTTATGCTAATGGATTTATTTTCATTAAAGAAAAGACTTTAAGGTAAAAAGTATTAATAATTATTTAATATAGATTTGAAGATTTTATTCCTGATTACAAGAGAACAGAATTAAGTAAAGGATAACCTTCTATAATAATTTCAAATCATTCTAGTTGGTATGATACAATTACTTATGTTTACAAATATCTACCTTCATTTATGTCAAAAGTAACAGTAAGTAAATATCCATTATTTGGATGGATAACAACATCATTAAAATCTATTTATGTAGATAGAGAAAGTGAAGAGAGTAGACATAAATGTGTTACAGATCTAGCAGAAAGAGTGACATAGATTAATTAAGGATAATTATTTCCACCTGTAATAATATTTCCAGAGGGTACAACTACTAATGGAGAATGTTTAATTCCATTTAAAAGAGGAGCATTTGATCCATTATTACCTGTAAAAATCTGTTGTCTAAAATATTCAAAAAGAAGATTTCATCCAGTTATGGATGTTATAGGTATAGGTTATATGACATTATTTGCTTTAAATTAATTTGCTAATGAAGTTGAAATTATTGAATTTGAAGGACTATTTGATCCTACTTATCTTAATTTGTAAAAATATCCTTAAGAAAAAAGAGTATTATTAATAATTTGTTATAATTTAGTGGGAAGTATATGCAGATGCATGCAGAGATGT